ATGTAAGGAAAGCACTGGATGATTTGCAAAAAGTCATGAAGAATTTTGAATCACGAGTTGAATTCACAGAAGATTTGCAGAAAATGAGTGATGTAAGTGTCTTGTTTTGTTTCACGCTAATTCTGTAATATTTTTAAAAATCTGGAAAATGAATGGATATTCAGATTGATAAAAGGGTATAAATAATGTAGTCATTCCTGTCTTGCATATCACTGCATTTGCTTCTATGCATTATTTTAAAAATATCTGGGCTGTTAATAAGTATAAAACAGTGTGTTTAATAATCCTAACTTTCCATCTTCCTAATTAGGCTGCGGGTGATTTTGTTGACATAAGAGAAGAAATTGAAGATGATAGCATTGAAACAAAAGGTAAATGATTTAATAATAAACTTATGTCTGGAAATACTAGTAAGCAAAATATTCCTTTTGTAGGATTAATACTCCTTATGTGGGATTGACTAAATTATTTCATTTCACTGTATCTTTTACATTAAAAAAATTGTTTTATTCAAACTAAAAATTACCAATCTGAAGGTAAGATGGAGTTTGTCCCTCAGTTTCACTGTGGGATTCTGTGGTATCCCTTAGTAGCCATCAGCTAGACATACTTGGGGGAATTTTTTCTTTGAAGAGTCTGCCTTGGGAGTTTGAAGTTGTCTAGAAGAAGAGAGGCAGAAAATAAAATAGGCTGGCTCCTGGAGGGAGAACTAGAGAAGGCATTCTTTGCATCAAAGTGTGAATTTTACAACAGAAGAAATACTAGAGAAACTCAGGCTCTGCCTGTTATGGGGGAAGTATTTGAGCAGTGTCAGCAGGGAGGGGAAGAAGCACGGACAGGGATGAGACATAAACGGACAATGTAAACGTTGTCATCCACTGGGGCATTTCACTACTGTCGGTGAAACAAATGCGAAAACAATCTCAGCATGCAGGTCTTGCAAATGCACTGAAGCAGATACTTCCTGAAGATTTCTGGAGAGGACACTGGGAAACAAAGATAGTTGTGCTAAGAAACTGGATAATTTCTGTGCTTTCTGAAGTGGTGCTTGATAGGTAAGACTCAGGCAAAGTTGGAGGAAGAAGTAATTTTACAGGCTGAAAATAGCAGCACTTGGACATTTTGACAAGGAGGAGTAGTTTGTGATTTACAGAGGGCTAAGCTGGGCAGTTCACCATTATGTTTTTCTGGAATAAATCACAATATTCTTTATATGCCAAGGCTGACTAAGGGGGTGTCTCTACTATGGGTAGATGTTGTTGCAAAATAGGAGGTGTAACGTTCTGGGAAATGCATCCCATTGCAACAGTGTTAATACAGCAGCATGCTGTGGATGCCAGGTCAACCTTTGTGCAGCTTTATTGTATCCTAAACTTTCATCATCATTATTGTCCTCTGAAATCATCTTAATTTTTGCTGAAAATCTGTAAGTGGGAATTATGTACGTTTTCTATCAGCACCAATCTGTACTGAGATTGAGAGAGAAGTAGTTAAAAGAACAGCTTAGCGATTATTTTGAGGCAGCCTGGGCTTCATCAGCCTAGGAATTGGCTAGGTTTTGTTCACATGGAAATGGACTGTATCTCTGAGGAAGACAAAAACAAGTATCTTGAGCATCTCATTAGTTTATTGCTGACTCTCCATTTTTCTGGATTTTACTATTTCACTTTTTTTGGTTAGTGTATGAAGTTAGTGGTCATGCTTTGTAGTAACAGTGAGCACAGTGGATATTGGAGCAGCAAGTGGTTATCCTCTGTTGTCTTTGAGATGTGACCTGGTTTCCTAACTGACAGAAGTTCTGTTAGAATTAGGAGGGAAAACCACTGGCATGTTGAAGTGCTTGCTGGTGTTCAGGAAGCCATGTGCTTACCTTGGTAGTCAAGTCAGTAGTTAATACTGAAGGATAACAGAAAGAAATGGGAGGGCACAATCTGAAAATCAAATTGAAATAGATTGTTAACTAATCCTTCCAAATTTTATTTATTAATTTTTGTAATTATACCAAATGAAATCTTCACAAGCTACTCTGATTGCTTGGCTTAATATTCAAATCTCAATAAAATACATTTCAGCCTTTTCTTAATGAGATGATGAAAAATGCTATCCCGTGGAAGAGTGGGGGGGACACATTCCAACATCACTTACAGTCACCTGTTTGCTTTTTAATGTTGCTGTTGAATTTGTATTTAACTCAGGATTAAAGTATAAGCTGACGTATTTGAATAAGGATATATTTAAGCCATGAGTTCTTAAATTAAAAAAAAAAAAGGCACATGATTAATAGAAAGAGATCTTAAAACTTAAAGGATGCTGAATAACAAAGACATTGTATATTACTGTTGATTAGATGCACAAAGCAGAGTTTCATAAAGACCCATAGAGATACTGGAGTCCCACTGTACAGACAAAATCTTGGGTGTACTTGTGGCAGTGATGGAAGGGGAAGGGTCCTCACTACTGTAAAGAGATGCAGGTGCTGCGTGGGGGTGCTGATGGGCAGAGAGCGGGCAACTTCCCTTGGGAACCTGCGTGGGACCACGCAGAAACAGGCGATGCCCTGGGAGCTGCCGGTCTCGGGGAGAAGGGGGATTAAAGAAGCAGTCCTGCCCTTCACACAGACAGGGCTAGAGCATTAGTATTGTTGGCAGGCAGTTTGCTCCCTATGTGCTAGACAGCACTCAAACCGGGAAAAAGTATTCCCCATCCTCAATGGACACACAATTTTACTAGGTAGCAAAGCTTTTAAATGCCAGCAAGAACTTGTTGGTGACTACCGTTTATTCACAAGTGAATATCTCTGGTCACCTCTGAAGCTTTAAAGGGGTTTATATTTATTATTTCTGAAAGGCAGGTTATTGTATGCTTTTCAGAGTGGGTCTTTTTCACCGAAATAAGTGATTCATAATGACTGGATTTTGGTCAGATTTTCCAGATGGCTCTGGAGAACTTTTCTAATGATTCCATTGTAAATTTTAAAAAATAGAACCCAAACCAAAAAGACTCTGCTCTTTAGATATAGGTGACTTTGTCCAAAATGAGCTGAAGTACAAAGTTTGTTTTCCCAGTTAATAAAATGTGCCATTAATGGGATGGTGAGCAAATGTCACATTCACATGTTGGTATCTATCAGGGCAAATCAAAGTCTACTGTTTGGCACAAGAGGTAAAAACCCCCACATTGTAATAAAACTGTCATAGGATCAGTGTCTCCTGCTTTGTAAATAAACATCTCTGCTTTGCCTTGGTATTTCTGTAACATCCGGAGACTATTATCCTGTGCTGGCGCTCTGGTTCATTGACAGTTTCACTTAAACAGTTATACAGTAATTTGAAATGGAAAATGTTCTGCCCATATTCCTTAATTCCTTTGTGTTCCCCCCCGCAATGTTTTTTGTTGTTTTTTTTGTCAGTTGTTTTAGTAATTGCATCTTATTTTTTGTTACACAGGAAAATACCGAACTGCTCACAAACCTCATTCAAAGCCAAAAGTATCAAACGCTTTTGAGGTAGATTTTCCAGCAAATGGAAGTGATACAAAATCAATGGGCCGTTTTCAGTCAGAGGAGGAACTGTGGGCCCGCTTAGAAGAACTTGAGAGGCAAGAAGAGATACATGGTGAACTTGACAGGTATAGTAATGCTGTAGCACAGTCAGGTTCAGAGTTCAGAAAGCTACAGGTGTGTGATTCTGTTTATACACAAAGGATCTCACTGTAAGTGCAAATAGCTGACTAGACTGATGCAGTTAAAATTATAGTAGGTGGAAGAAAGGTGGAACATGAACAAAGTGTGCACCGCAAGGCCAAAGGTGCTAAAATCTGCCTCTGTGCAACCACAGCAGTCTAGCACTACAGTATTTTTTCTTTCAGATGATAGGAAAGGGGGAAGTAAAATCCATTTCCCACAGGCTAGGAAAATCTGTCGTTTACAATGTAGGAATTACACATTTAGCATTTAATGGCATCCTTAGATCTATTCTGATCCTAAAGCAATACATATGTTATTAGCCAGAATGTCACAGTTTTGGTATTTCCAGTTGACACAGAAAGTACATAGTTATTCTTACAGAGTATAAGAAAGGTTCCACAATCTGGCTTAAAATATAGTACCTGGGTAAAGAAAATTATGTACAGGCTTGTTCATTATTTTGTATGCCTGTGTCTCTCAAGAGTATGAATTGCCTCAGTTCACTTAGATATTTTTCATTTCATAGGATGCCTGATACAGTTGAGACAAATGGAGAAGATACAACCTCTTCCGAAGAGGAGAAGGACGATAAGAGGACAGATCTGAACGGGACATATAGAGCAGAAGACTGTATTACTCAGGGCAACTTCCATAAAGAAGTAACAAATTCAGACTTGTTTCGTGTCCAAGTTAATGGCTCTACTTATTATCACAGTGATGATGAAGATGACATAGATGTTGGAGATAACTCTGTTCCAACTATTTTTTTCTCTCACACTGTTGAACCTAAAAGGGTTCGTACTTCATTATTTTTATCTTTCTCTCAAGAGATTGCATAAAACATATATACCATATCTAAAATAGAAAATTTTAGATAATGTAGAATGCTAATTGTAGGTGACATTTATTTGCATTTTTTTCAAATGCTTGAAAGCCAGTTTAAATCCTGCAGTTTCAAATATGGTATTAAAAAAATGATCTTCAAATGTATACCTTGCTGTTCTGGCTTCCAACTGTTGTAAAAGGTAGCGTCCTGTCTAGGAGTTTTTAAAATTACTTTTTACTTGACTTGAAATTGACTGTTGAACAGCTCAGCTGTTGAGCAGAATTTGAATAAGCAGATTGTCATATGTTATATGCAAACTCTATGCACATTAGTGCAAAGAAATGCCCCAGCCTAGTGCAAGTGTAAAGAATAAAGAGTTCACACTATGAATGTTACCATTCATACATTCATTCAACTTGTCTATGCTTTGTAGTCTGCAACTGCTTGCACAGGAGAATGTCAGAAGTCAGTTGATCTGCAGCCTGGTGATTGTTGATTTTATGGTCTAGACCGTCATTTGTGTTCAATTTTCAGGTAAGAATAAACACAGGAAAAAATACTACTTTGAAATTCAGTGAAAAGAAAGAAGAGGCCAAGCGTAAAAGGAAGAACAGCAATGGCAATGGCCATGCAACTCCAGAACTGCCTAACATCAAAACCCCAGCAGACATTTACCGGTGTGTAATTTATAGCATTGGCGCGTGAACTTTCCCCTTAGCAGACCTTCTCTTTTCATTTCTGTTCACCTATAGTATGAAACCGAGCCTGCTATTTCCTGAAAGAAACAGCTGGAACTAAATTTACTACTTAAAAATGAAAGTTTGTGGCTTCTGCGTGGTTGCTGTGCTTTCATATCCATAAAACATTTCTGAGCTTAAAATTTCCTTTTCCAACTAGCAATTCATCATCTATCTACTTTTTCAGAGCTTCTGAAATTGAGGTAAATTTGCCAGAACATATCATCTGCATAAAGGGATACAGCACTTTGTTGGTTAATTCCATGTCATTTGCTTCTGTGGTTTTTTTCAAACATAACTGACCAGATCTATCACTTGTAATGCTCCTTTTCCCAGTTACTAATTGCTGTTTCTTGTCTCTTCCTTCCAGTATCTTCAGAATATACTCAGGTCTTTGTTTGCATAGTTTCTCTTGCATTCTCTCCCCCTGACTTTAGTCCATCACTGTCTCTATTCTCCATAAAAAGAAGAGCTCACCTGTAGAACACCCACATTCAGAGAGCTTGAAAACCAGTGCTGGGCTTAGAGGACTGTATAAAATACTAAACTATGGTGATGGGAGAGTTAAAGTATTTAGGTTTGTAAAGATGAACACAGACACCTATTAGATTAGTTGATTAAGTGCTTGTGAAAATCACACTGCATTTGTATGTCAGTGTATTCAGGCACCTAAATATCTTAAAAAATGTGTCACAAAGTGTGAAAAGTTAAAACCCATCCTGTAATTACAGTTGCTGGGGCTGAAGATGAGGTAAAGGATTCTTTCATGGTGCTCTCCCTGAGCTCTGCAGAGGAACTCCATCTTCTGTAGAGATATGCAAGTGTTCCCATGAGTGCCTGATGAATAAAGCTGTTAAGAAACAAGTTAACGCCCTTAAAACCCATCCAGTCATTGGGCTTCTCTTTTATGAGTTTGATAAAATTGGCACTGTCTTCTAGTGCTACTCTTTCTCCTTCACTCACCCTTGACTTCTTTAAGTCATAGAGACGGAGTACAAACTGTAGGAAGAGGCTTCTTTATCAGTTTACAGTCTGTTAATACTTGAAAAGTGTCTTTGTGTTGATCTGATCTTAAAAGCTGATTTTTTAAATTTTTTTTTTTTTTAACTGAAAGTAGAAGATTATGGCACTTGTCAGGAAGAAGCTTCATCCTTTCTGTGTGCAATGAATGTTTCAAGTATTTGTTTTTATATTCTACATTTGACAAGGACTTCATTCTAGAAAACCTTCTGTCATTGTGATCTTCTGTTTCTCTTCACAGAAACAACCCTGGCAATCACTTAGTTTACCTTTTTTCTAACTTTTTGTAACTCACTCTGTTCTGTTTTCTAACACTTTTCAAAGAGCTATACGTTTTCTGCTGAAAAAAGTGTACCAACTTAATGCTTGAATAAAGTGTTTGCTCTGCAGAATTGATTCTTGTATGTTGGTAAATAAAATGCCTTTAAAGGTACAGTATTGTAATTCTGCAGCAAAAAAGTTGGAAAAGCACATCATAATTTGTACAAAAGACAAAGCAAGATCACTGTAAATTTGTCATCTGATCCTGAAATGGTTTATTAAAGCTAACATTTTCCTTTATAGAGTCTTTGTTGATGTTGTGAATGGAGAATATGTCCCTCGTAAATCAATTTTGAAGTCTCGAAGCAGAGAGAACAGTGTTTGTAGCGATACCAGTGAGAACAGTGCTGCTGAGTTTGATGACAGACGAGGAGTTCAGAGGAGTATTAGCTGTGATGAAGCTACTCAGAGCGACAACAGCGAAGGCATACTGGAGGAAGAGGAGGAGGAGGGGCAGCAGGAGCTACCAAAAAAGCTTCCTCCCTCTTCAGGGACAACTGAGGTACAGGTTTTTAATTAATTATTGATTGTTGGCAGGGATAAAAACAAGATGCCAATGACTGTAGTTACCTATACCATCAGTTTGATTTCGTTAAAATAATTTTCTAACTCCTACCTAGTTTACTTCAGGACATTATCAGGTGACAAGCTTCCGTCATACGCATCCAAGGGGCAGAGGGGAGGAGGCTAGTCAGCTGGCTTCCCTGAGACCTGAAGCTGTTCTGTAAAGATCTGACAAAGTAGCCTCTTGCTGGTGTTACTGAAACCAGCATCATGGCTACTGGGTCATCCTGAAAATTTCACTGCAGGATATACAGCAGGATTGAAAAAAAAAAGGGGGGGGGAAGAAAAATCTGGGCTTCATAGTTGATGAGAGGGAAGAGTTGATTCTTTGTAACCTGTGTTGCACAGCTACTAGACAGCTAGTTTCCAGCTTGTATTTTTAACTTTTAAAACGCACAAATACCAGCTGAGTTATTATTTGGACTTACCAAAGGCAGAGGAATTGCCCTGTGGAAGGAAGCATTACACCTCTACTCATCCTGTTCCAGACTAGGGCCATTAGTGATCCCATACAAATCTGTTTTCACACATTTGGAAAGTTCAGGACTTCGTCATAAAGGAAAGAGACTGTATGACATAAAGGAAGATGTACAGTTGCTTAGTGACTGGATGAGTACAGGAATTAAATGTAGCCGCTGCTCTGAAATTCATGGGATAGAGTATTCTTCATTTTTATTTTGTAAGAACTTACACTAATTTTTTCAAACTAGATGAAACTGAGTTCTCAGTAGTTCCCAGGGCAATAGGCAAGTTCAACGAAAACACTGTTTTTAGAAAAAATTATTTTTTACAAGAAATGAATTCCTCATAAAAGCTATTGTTTATCATAATTTTTCATACAAACAAATCCAGGCAGGATGTGAAGATTCATGGTGGAAGATCCATCTGTAGAGTTAGCATTTCACGTATACTTTCTGGAATGTATTTGCTATATTTTTCTAGAACATCTAAGTACACTTTAGATGTTACCCATTAGTCTATTTTCTGAATATGGCATGATGATTCTCTACAATATAATGTATTTTCTAAGTAACTGAAGGAGAGTAAGCAAAATACTCCAGTTAGACATGCCTTCTTAGATGCTGCTGTTTTGCTTTTGGTTGTTTTTGTGGGTGTTTGAAATACACTATTTCTCCATTACTATTTGCAACACACTAACTTTTTTTCTTTTTGTTTCTAATTTTACCACAATCTGCTTAGGTTGTATTTTGCTTACCTGTTCTTGAAAATGAGCGTATTGTTAGAAAAACACAGTTGTGTACAGGCACGGCTTTAGGCATACTTTGGCTATTGGAGCAGAAAACAAAAAAACGCTGCTTTTTTTGCAGGTCCTGCAAGAAAAGAATGGCTGGTTTGTTTTGCTTTGTTTTTCTTGGTAACTGAGTTATGAAAAAGCAGAACTAAGCATAGTTAATAAATCTGGTGTGCATTCCTTTGTGCCCAGTGTGAGCATCAAACCTTGGATGTAAACTGCTTCCCTTTGTCCTTAGGCATTCTGAATTTTCTGTTTTCAATACATAGCAGGGTGATTTGTTCTTAAAAATGTTTATGAAAAGTAGTTCTGAGCTGGTTTTTTTTTCCCAATGTTTTCCAAGAATCATGGTCATTTCTTAGCTAAGTTAAAAAGGATTAAGTCATATAATCGGCTGCATGTAAATTACCATTTTTAAACATTAAGTGTTTTTATTAGACCTTTTATAGAGAGAAATAGTTGGAAGCAAGTTTGCCGTTCTCTTAAGTGTAAATTGCTTTCACCATTTTTTGATCATATTTGGTAAGGAGAAAAGAACAAACAAAATATGTGCTTGCCAATTTGTATGCAGTGTGTCAGCTTGATGCAATTAGAAGATACTAAGTCATAAAATATGACGTATGATGGAAATGCTGATATACTCCAACTTTACAAAATCTCTCAATTTCTCATCCAAAATGAAACTATATATTACATCAGCTGTTTTATTTCTTGAGCATTTGTCAGTGAGGAAGCAAATTTTTAGATCATTTATGCAGTAGGAATGAGATTAAGTAGTACTTTTAAGACACTGTCTTTCATTCAGTCATCTTTGAACAAGCTGTATTTTGAGGTTAATTACAATTTGGTTACTTATGCAAGGAACAATCATTGATTTAAAGATATTTCTTTACTTTTGATTAAGAGAAATAACAATCCTAATCAGGCTAATATAGGGTAATGACCTTATGGGCATAGCTTCACATTTGCATTTTATTAGCTCATTTTGAGTATTCTCTTCTGCTGTAGGCATTTTCCGGAACTGTTATAGAAAAGGAGCCTTTGTCTCCCTCCTTAATACCACACCCAGTCATTGCTCACCCAGTCCTGCCTACCATTCTGGAGCGAAAATCAGAGGAAGTTTTGTCCGAAGCATCAGAAGAAACTACAAAGAGGATTTCAAAATTCAAAGCTGCCAGAATGCAACAGACTAACTAGGTCCTGCCTAGCCAGCTGAAGTTGGAGTACTCATGCCTAGTTTCACATTTGTTGAGATTATGTAAAACTATACGCGTTACACCTAGTTAGTTAAAAGGGTGTCCTATGTTAATTTGGCATTGGTTATCTTTTGAACGTTTATTGGCGACATTAAAAAAAAAGAAGTTCAGTGTTTGAACACTTGAGTATTCATCTTTGTCGATTTCCCTGTGTGCTGTCAGCACCTTTGTATATGTTTGCCTTATGATAGCAGCACTTGGGTTCTTTTTCAAAAACTGTTCCTTACATACATTGTTTTTTGTGTTTAAACCTAAATACAGGCAGTTTTGTGCCAGCTGTGATGTTCTACATACAATATGGGGTATTTTAAGGAAACTTTTCACATTTCAAATAGATTCACCAATTATATTGCATTACTTGCTTTAGCATTTTAAGACACACTTGTATTCACATTGCTGTAGGTTTTGCAGCTAGGTGTCTGCTGAAAGTTTTTTCCTTCTTTCAAACCTCTCTGATATCTCACTGTACAGATCTATAAAACACTGAGTTCATGTACATTGCAGGGAAGTTTCTTTGATGGAAAAGGGTATTTTGTAAAATTAAATTTTCAGTAAAAAAGCTGTGAAAGTTGTGTGTTTTTTGTTGCGTTACTACTAATTTGGAAACAACATGGAGAGGTTTCTATTCTGAACTTGTGTTTCTAGCTTGAAGTGTTTACTACCACATGGACATAAAAGCAGTCCATTCTCTTGTGCCATTGTGTTTTAACCTCCTGCTAATGAATGTCCGTGGAAATTGAATGCTCTTAAGGAGAGAAGCATAAACTCAGACTCTTATTACAAAATCTCCCAGTTCTTTTGTGTACTCAGAAAACATTGTAATTGTCTTGGGAATGCCCAGAGGGAGTCAGCACTAAGGAAAAATGTCTTAATGCTTCAACTTTATTTCAAAATGCAACAGCACTGCAGCACTCGGGGTACAGTTTTGTGTATCCTTCTCTTGACTGAGAGCAATCCTGGCTTCAGGAGTCCCTGCCCAGCAGGTCCTTCCTGTCTTCTTGCCATCCCCTCACTTGTGCTGACACAGCTTTTGTTGGGCCACCCCTTGAATGATAATAGGCGATGGAGCTGGGTTTAAAAAACAAAACTACTGGGTTTGGTTTTTTTGGTTTTCTTTTTTTCAGCAGTGCATGTTTTTTTTGAAGCTAGTGAGTTTCCTAATCTCTTTCCCAGCATGTCTGTATCAGCACAGTTAGAGGGGTAGTGTGTTGAGCAAGGACAAGGGAAAACACTGGCAGAGGGCATGGGGATCTGGAGTACCTTAAAGTGATGTTGCTCTCCAGCTGACATCATCAAACCACAGCTTAAAAAGTGAGGCAGAAAGACTTCGGAGGTGTAAGGAAGGATTTGCTTTTGGCCGCAGTTCTGTGGCTTTGTAAATGCACAGCCCGAGAGCCACCAGGATCTGGTTTTCCAAATCTTGGCCATCCATGAACAGGGTGTCAGCTAATACCGTTTCCTCACCTGCCCCTAAAATAACTGCGCCTTATGCTCATGTCCTTTGCTCTCAGATCACAGCAGATTAGCTCATAGTGCAGCTTCATGCATTAAAACAATCGCCAACTCCTTTTTCAACACTTTTTTCTCTCTGTGCTTACAAGGGAGGTGGAGGCATTGGGACTTCTTTTTCTAAGGTGACTTTTAAAAAAGGCTACACTCCATCCAACTCTGGTGTTCTCTGCTATGTGTTTGGGAAGGTGGCATAGTTTCATGGGCAGAAAATGCCGGCCAAGTTGTGTGGCAGCAGGAGGGCAAGAAGGGGCCGATAGCTGGGGTCCCTGCATGGAGGAGCAGCCCACCAAAGCTGCGGGGCTGCATTTTCCCCATGATACCAAGCAAATTGTGTTTTGCTGAAACAAAAACTGAAGGGAAAGTTGCACAGCCCTCCCGTGCCTGAAGCTCACAGGCTGGGAGGGGGCAATCTCCATTTCAAGCAGATCCTGAGAGTCACGTTGAAAGTGTTAATGATTAACTTGATTCATGCTCAAATGCGGATTTTTTTTTTTAAAGCATATTGCATTAGTACTAAAATAAGCCATCAATGCCAGTCCACCCTCTATTCACGGCTAAATATTTAAAGGAGGTTATTTATAGCTTCTTTAATGAATTCTTGGCTAAACAAAATGAAATTATGTCCTAGAAAAGTAGAAGCTATTTTGTAACCAGAACAGTGCAACTGTAAAATATAGTTCCATGAATATGTATTTTAAATAACAAGGGGTTGAGATCCAAGACTACCAGACATGGGTAATTAGAGGGAAAAGGAGAGAAAGAAAGAGAGAGAGAGAAACCCCTTTAAAAAGATTTATTTAGATATCCTCTGAAATACTTCCCACTTCTAGTTACTTCAACAAAACCAAATGCCCCTTGTCACCATAGATCAGTTTCAAATCAAAAGTAATTCTTTGCTTGTTTTCTTTTTTTTCCCCTCCCCTTTTTTCACATCTCAGCTCACAGGAAAAAGTAGGATAAATGCACCTTGGGTTTTAATGAATTATGGCCTCAGTTCAGGGAAGCATCCTTACTCAGGAATGCACTTTGGCATGTGCTTATGTCTCAAAGATTTTGCAAAGAAGAATGGATTTAACCACGTGCTTAAAACTAAGCACATGAATGTTTTCCCTAATAGGAAGCCTTAATGTGTCTGTGCCCTTTTTCCAGTATATTTAATTGTCAGAGGGTTTGCAGGTTGGACTGATCCTTCATCTTTGGTCTCTTCACTTGGGCTTTACCAGTAAATTCACTGTGCGGTGCCTATAGCAAGAAGAAACAGCTGTAGGATTTCTGGAGAATGTTTGCAAATGCTAAACAAAAAAATAAATCTACCAAAGCAGATAAAAACCTAGACGGTGTAAAAAAAATGATCACGTGAAGGCCCATCTCGGCGAGGACTTAAAATTCGCTTTTTGTGGAACACTGAAGCCAACAAGTGGATGCAGGTGACCACCAACGCACAGGTGAAGCAGAACACTAGGATGAAGCAATGGTGCCCCAAATTTGAGGCACGTAGAGTTCCTGGTAGTAAATTAATCTGTCAAGAAGAGTGTCTTTTTGCCCCCAGTGCTGCAGTTGGAGATTTTATTCACTTAAATAAAAAGGGCATGGTTTAATCGATGTCCGAAACACCTTTGATGGCTTTTCCTGCTGCCTCCGGAAGGGTTCCTCATCTGCCCAGGAGTGCTGCCGAGGGCTCCGAGCCCAGGGCTGAGGAAGGGCGTTCTGCTTCTTCCCGGTGTTCCCCAAGAGGTTTTGTGTGTCCTCGGCAGGAAGGAGGTGGCCCGGCCGGGGCTGGGGAGGCTTTGGCAGCTGGTCACGGGGGTGGCACAGGAACGCCCGTGCTGGAAGGAGCCCTGTCCCAGCCCAGTCCCAGTGTCCCCAGCCTGCTCGGGCACAGGCGAGCAGCGCCAGCTGAAGCGCAGCCCGGCACGACTTCACAGGCAGGTAGAAACGCAGCAGCAGGAGAAAACAACAGGGAAAGACATCGGTGCACGAGATCTCTTTAGTCCAAAACGAGAGTGGTGGTGGCAGCCTGCACGGGCGCTGCAGGGCCACGGGGACAAGTCGGCATGGCTCAGCCGTGCTGTGCCCCACCACCCTGCAGCCACTCCACACAGCCCTTTGCAGGGCCATGATTGCATCAATTATGCACTGCAAATTACCCGCTCCACTTCCATTCCTCATTGGGAGGCAAATTTGACTCTTTAATCTTCTTTAATTGGCCACAAGTAAGTCGGGCACCTGCCTGTAGCCAGAGAAGGGGTTGTGGGTGGGGGGGAAGGGGAAATGCTTCCCGTCTGAAGCTGAGAAAATGCGGCCTGGAGAAGCTGAAGGAAAAGGCGGTGGATGTCGTGCGTTCGGTGCAGCTGATCTGTGCTGGTAGCTGCAGGCCCGGCCTGGGCTGGTGGAGTCTGTGGTGTGCATTTAGAGGTAAACTGGGTTTATTTCCCCCTCTCTCTCCTGTAAGACTAGTTGCACTTTGCACTTTTCATTGCTCACTTGGAGCATCTAAAGCAGCAGATTTTTGTATGTTTCAAGAGCGTCTAAACCAGCTGTTTTAGCTGTTCATTTTAACAAAGTGATTTATGTTGCAAAAAATGAGCTGGGATTAAAAGAAATCAGATGTGTGTATTTGGTATGCAATATTTTTGTATTACAAATAGCTCCGTTCTAACCCACATTAACCCCATGATATGTGAATTTTGCCAACTCCCGCTGTGTCTTTTAAATCAAATCCAGTAAATCACTCCGAGCGTTCCAATTTCCAAACAAACTAGTCTTCCAATGGAAGTCCTGTAACACCGTGCGGCGAATTAGACGGCGGAAGACAAATGGCGCATCTTTGTTGACGGTGGGGTTTAAGTGACCAAAAGTCCCCGATGGAAGCCGGCAGCCAACGGCCCCGCACCGCCAC